CAGGGGATCCCAGGCTGGAGGGACAGGCCCAAATGCTTTTTATGCTTCATGCCCACAGCAAAGGAAGCTCAGCAGCTTCTCCTCTCCCCTCTGTCCTGACCTTGACTAAACATTCACCCAGTCCCTCTGGTAACTCTTTCACCTCAATAAACCATCAGAAAACTGAATAAAACCCCTGACCAATTTCTGCTAGGTCAGCAAGATGAACCCCCTGGACAGAGCTGGAGCAAGGCTGGTGTGGGGGACAGGGGAGAAGACAATCCCTCCTCTTCCCTTCCAGCAGCAACTCGAGCTCGGCTGCTTCTCCATTTCAATGGCTCGAGCAGAGTCCCCTCTGAGGCTCAGGGCTCACTGGTGATCTGTGAGCCACACGAAATGAAGTTCAGCTGGTTTGAGAAACAGTATGAAACAGCAAAATTAAAAGCACTTACCCAGGCTGGTACAGCCCCTTGGTTCAGAAACTGCAGTGTCCCAGTGCTGTGGGACACAATATTCTCTGAAGGTTTCCCTGTGGTTTCAAAGAGCTTAGAAGTTGCTGGTGTAGCATTTAAAGGAGCTCACAACATGGTTTCAGATGGAAAATCAAAATTTGGTTGGCTAAATATTGGTTTACTTTTCTAATGAGGCTTTCAGATATGATTTGATTGTTTTCACCTGAGGATCTACCATTGGCTATTTAACCAGGGACCAATCCTGTAACCTTAGTTGAACTCCCGGTGGGATTTACAAAACAGCCCTACCAATTTAAAGTAATTTTTTGCAACTGTGCTTTCCCCGGAGCACAGCTGCTTCCCTCTGCTCCTCACTGCTTAGAGTGCTGAGAACTGGGAAAGCAGCCTTGGGAGGAGCCTGGGGAAAGGAAACTCCTCTAATCTGCTGTGGCTGCAGAACATTTTGTATCAAAGCTGGGACTGAAGGAACACGGGGACCTGTCTTTGATCCACGAACATCAGTAAGACTTAGAACAATAGCAGTGACTTCGTGTAGCCTTTCTTCTGTGAGCCATTACCAATTAACCACATACTGGGCAATGTAAAAAACTGTTGGTTATCTTTGCTGTAATGTCATGCAGAAGGATTAGTTCCTGTAGGAATTATTGGACTCTAGTAAAACAATAATGAGTATGTGTGTGTAATGACACATCCTCTGCCGTGCTAGCTGTGTGGTCACTGGGTAGGGCAGCTGTATCTGCAAAGTCTGGGGTTGATGAGATCGCTCAGGGATATTATTTTGTCCATTAGGCTGCTGTTACTTGGATGGTTTTGGTGGCTAAAACCCAGGATTTTTATTTTTTCTTGCTATCTGTGCTGCCATTGACCTAGTTCTGCAGTGAGTGACTGCACAGCCATCTGTATCCCAGCTGATGCCAAGGAATGAAACAAGCCCTGAAGGTAACAGCCCTCTGGGTGAGGGGAGGGTTTCTGGGCAGCAGTTGCTGTTTGTGTTTCTCCCCCTTTGGGCTGTGCTTTCTGATGCCTGGGAAGGCAGCAGTGCAGGGAGCAGCCCTGGGGGCTCAGTGCTCAGGACACCTGGGCACACAGCAGGGAGCTGGGGGGACTTTATCCTGCCTTATGGGCTCAGCCAGTGCCTGGTTTGGTGTATCTGGGCTCTGTGACACGAGAATTGTTGTAACATTGCCTCTCTCTGCTGTCCCTGCCCTGTGCAGACGTTTCTGGTGCTGCCCCTGGCACTCAAGGGGCAGTGCAGGATGCAGGGCCCTGTGAGCAGGGAGCAGACCCTCCCTGGCTGGGTCAGTCTCTGGGGTTTCCAGGGGTTGTCCAGGACTGGAGGGCCCTGCCTTCAGGAGCTGCAGTGAGTCCAGGACGCAGCCCAGCACAGTGCAGATCGAGCACAAGGTCTGTAAAGCAGCAGCAAGAGGCAAATTCTGGCCCATAACCCTGAATTCTTTTCTGTGTCCAAGCAGTTTTGTGCAGTGACTGTGGCAGTGCTTGGAAATGAAAGCCACGCTGATGGCAACCACTGACATCACCGTGGGAAGTGTCATGAGATTTTATGCATCTCTGACAGTACCAGCTATAAAAATCAAGGCTCCCCTGAAAGTCTCAGTTCTCAATTAAGAAATCCACCATGCATATTGGTATTTCTGGGTGCAAAGAAGAGTTTGAAAACATGTAAATGTACTCCAAAGGTTTAGGTACCCAAGGACAACTGAAAGGAAGCTCAGCTCTGTTGCTTTTACAAAATCCTTTGTTTGTTTTTACTCTTGGCCCTGTTTGTTATTGTTGCCGTAAGTTTATCAATATCAAACCTAAGTGAGCTTTGTGACTTGTAGGTCCCCTGAGAACACTTTGGTTATTTCCTAGAGCTGATGAAGGGATGGTGGAGTGCTCGTGGCTGACACAAGAGTGAGGTTTGTGCCGTGGTTCTGCCGTGGTCTCTGACACTAATGCATTCTAGTGGTTTTAATTGCCAAGAGCAGCTGTGACTTCTCTCCTCTGGGTGTCCCCATCCCATCTCATTCAGTCATTTTTAGTCATTAAACATCTCACCACGTGATTGAATCTGAGGATGGAGCAAAGGGCAATTAGTCAGCCCAAATCTACAGCACTTCATGTGAAGGCAGTGGGAAGGTTTAATTGCTAATACTTGTAAAATATGGATTTTCTTTGAGGGTAGGGCTCTAAAGGAGCTCTGCCCAGTGTTCCATGTCTGAGTGTGGCTGCAGAGCCCTCCTGGAATGACACTCAGCAAGTCCCAGAGCCTTCAGCACCCTCGGCTTAGGAAGGGATTATTTTCAAAGCCCCACAGTTTCTAATGGGTTTATCCTGACAGCAGTGTGGTAAGAAGAGTGCTGGTTATCCCCAATTTACATACAGGAGACACTTCATTTAAGGGCCCTTGAGCCTGGATGTCTGCAGGGTTCTCTCACTGGGACAGAATTCAGGCCCTGTGCTGTGTCTGGAAAAGTCTGGACACTCTCAATTTTGATGTGTTGAAATGTCTTTGAAAAAACTCTTAATACAAGAGCCAAACCTTACAAAGAACTGTGGCAAATCCCAGCGCCAAAGCAAAGTGTCTGCAGGGAACAGCTGGCTGCAGGGTCCAGGGAGAGGCAGGAGCTGGGGAATTAACCCTGTGAGGTGCAGGGTGGGAACACGACGGCTTTGACTCCCCCTTTTCTCATGTGGTGTGTGGGAACCTCGGTTATTCCTGCAGGACTGAGGTCAGGTCTGTGTGCAGGGCTGCACCATCCTCTGACAGAGCTGCATGGAGCTCTCAGGGGCCAAAGGAACGCACAGGGAGGCACGAGTGGAGTGGCAGCTCTGCCCAGAGCAGAGCTCTGCTCATCCCTCCCCTGGCAGGACTGCTCAGCTTTGCCCTTTTCCCACTGTGTACAGAGTTTTTTTCCTTCTCGTTTCTTGGGCTGCTGGAAATGTCCCCTGGCTGCCTGTGGCAGAACAGGTGATCGGATCCCCAGTCCCTGCTGGGTGAAAACAGGATTTAATGCAGTGACTAAACACTGACTGAGTTACTGAGTAACCCCAGGAGCCTTTTCCATGTGCAGAGGTACCGACCACGTTATGTGCTGCTGAGGGAGGGCCTGTTGTGTCCAGGCCTTGGAAGAGCAGCCTGGGTGTTTGCTCACAGAACCTCAGACAGGGATTAAAGGAATCATCAGTGGATGGTGTTCCAGAGGCCCTTCATGCACAGGAGCTGTGGAGTTGAGACTTTCCCGACACAACAATCCCTGTCCTCTCCAGATTCCCTGCATTAAACCCCATTCCAAGTGCTCTGTGATGACTTTGGCGTGGCCTTGCAGGAGAGCTGGGAGAGGGCAGGCACAACCCAAAGGCTCAGTCTGTGTCCCACTGGGGCCACTTTTCTCCTTCCCAGCAGGTGAAAACAACCACAGGTGAGCAGATTATTCCTGTAGGAAATGTGGAAGGTTTTCCCTTGAGAGACAATACATAACAAATTACAGGGCATGGCATTATCCAGTTGGCAGCTTAGTTTGAGGGGAAAAAATAGTGGCACAAAATCGGCTTATTTTTTAAGCCCAGCTGGGAAGTAGCAGGAATTCATCTCACTGGATAAGGACACTATAAAATGTTTGTATGAGGCTTCATCACATATTTTTGGAGGCAGAAAACATTTACTGCAGAGGCTGGAGTTGATTCAGAGTCACACGAATCAGATGAAAGCTTCAATCCATGTGCCTTTTGTGCTCTTTTATGAAAAAAACCCCAACAATAATTAAAAAGCTCCACAAAAAAAACCCCTGCAGTGTCCAAAACACAGCTTCAGAGTTGCCTTGAGCTGCATTAACTTCCACTGTACAACCCTTTTTCTCTCACCCTCAGAAAGCAGGACATAATCTTTTAAGAAAATCAAATCTAACTACTTTGTTGGATTACATCTAACTACTTTCAGTTGGATTTAATTAGTTTTTGTTAGCAGTGCTTCCCGACTGCCCCAGAGCAAGGGCTCTTGTGCTCTGTGACCCTGGGCTGGGGACAGCACAGACGAGGAGCAGCAGTGGGGGGGTGAGTGGGGCGGTCCCTGTGGGATGTGAGGGATGCTCGTGGGGCGGGGCTGTCCCTGTGGGATGTGAGGGATGCTCGTGGGGCTGTCCCATCCCTGTGGGATGTGAGGGAGTCTGTCCCTGTGGGTAGGATGCCGGGCGGGGCTGTCCCTGTGGGATGTGAGGGATGCTCGAGGGGTGGGGCGGTCCCTGTGGGATGTGAGGGATGCTCGTGGGGCGGGCCTGTCCCGTCCCGTCCTGTCCCGGTGGGATGTGCAGGAGCGTGTTGGGTCTCAGGGGCCTCACCTGCTCTCTCTCTGTGGCCTTGGCAGCATGCTCATGGAATTTTTCAGTCGTGCCCACGTGGGAGTCGTGGCCACTGGCCAAGAGCTCCGGCAGCAACAGCCCCGTCGTTAATGATTGACTGGTGAGATAATGGACTAGCCCAGCCCACTGTTGGCTTTCCTTCCTTCCCCACTGCCACTCTGCCGAGCAGAGTCCCGGGGAGCCAGGGGCAGCTGCCGGCGGAGCCGGAGGGTGCTGGGAGTCCCTCGTGCAGCTGAGATGCCCGCGGAGCTGCCTCGGGGACATCCCAGGCCAGGGACCAGCTGAGGGATGGGAATCGCCTCCAGCGTTCTGTGAGTGCACTGAAAACTTTGCAGGCTGGGAGATGCGAAAGTTCTGCTTCGCTGACTTTCAGATCTTTTCTGAGGGCACAGCTGGAATGGGGAGCCAGAGCATTAGCTCCTGTTTTAGAAAGAATTCTGGAGGTAGCCAATGTGCAGTGTGGGCACTCATGGTGCTCACACCTTCAGCCTGCTCGGGGGAACTGGGGACTGCTCTGGGGACGTGTCCCTGCCCGTGGCATTGGGGTGGAACAGGGTGAGCTTTCAGGTCCCTTCCAGCCCAACCATTCCGTAGTTCTGTGGCTCTCACTAAACCAAACATCAGTTTATATTTTCAATGCCTGTACCTGGTAAGTGCTGTCCCCAGCAGCTGCTGTGCTGTCTATTTGTTTATTTGCTCTATGCAAGAAAGGAATGAAAAGAACATCTGGTTACTCTGTTGCTTATGCTGTGTGTGCTTTCAGTCTGGAGAGCAGCGATTCTGCCGGTCCATGGTCCAAGCAGCTGCTCCTGCAGCCGTGGGGAGGGTGTGTTTGGGGAGGGGGAGTCCGTGAGCCTGAGCCTGCAGACCTGGGGGGCTGCAGTGTCTGTGTCCGTGCTCTGCTGGGGTGACATCACCACTCCATCCTGAGGAACAGATTTTCCTTCACCTCAGCAGTGTCCCTCGAGCAGCTGGAGGGCACCACGCAGGGTTTAGAGCAGAGCTGGAGTGACCCGTGGGTTTGGGTGCTTGAGATGAGGCCCTGCCTGTGGCTTTGTGGCCCTGCCAGCCCCTGGGCACTGGTGGCATCGTGGCAGCTGTTCACAGGTGGCTTGGGAGGTCTCAGCAAAAGAGGAGGTGCAGAGTGTGCCCAGTCCCAGCTCAGCAGCACAGGGTCCCACTGGAGGGATCATCAGTCGTGTTGCAAGAGCCTGTCCAGAGCCAGGGGGGAGCTGGTGGGGGAGGCAGGAGAGGAAAGCACAACCCTGGGAAAACAGGGTCCAAGTGCTGTGTTTTCTGTCCATCCTTGCTGCCAGGCAGGGACTGACTCGGCTCTCAGGTCCCTTGCAGAGCATGTGCTGTCAAGGTCCATGTGCTCCCATCTGTCCATGTTCCCTTCTGGAACAGCCCAGAAGCAGAGGAGGGAGCTGGATGTACCTTGGAAAATATTAAAACCACATTTTGGATTGTTTAACCGGGGCTTAAAAGCTGTTTTAGGCACACATGATTGCACCAAGCCACCTGAACTTCAGGGATCTCTGTGGGTGCAAGCTGACATTTCCACAGGGAAATGTGTGAATGTAACCAAATGACTAACAAGGGCAGAACTGAATTTGTACTGGAAAATTTATCTTTAAAATGTTACAATTATCAGTGTGGTACAGTGTGTAAGGGACCAATCTCATCCCTGCTGTGGACACAGTCGAGAGTGGCACACAGTGTAACACAAACACAGGAGCTCTGCTCCATCCCTGGATGTGCAGATTCTGTGGGGTTTTCTGAAAAGTACAGTCTAGGTCCATAAATGATGGATGGGGTGGGGGTCTGGCAGGCAGACATTGTTACACAGAGGACAGGTACTTTGGTACAAATGCACTGAAGGATCCCCCAGCACAGGCAGTGTTTGAGGCTGATGGTGAAATGCAGGTTACGGAGGACTGATTTGGGAACTCAAAAACAAAGTTTCTGTAGAACAGATGAAATGTAGAAAGGTGGACTGGCAAAAACTCCCCCCTTGTGTTTGGGTGGGGACTGATGGGCATGAAGAGCTACAGACAGGGGGCTGAGTGTAAGCAGGAGCTGCTGTCAGTGAAAGTGCCCCTGCTCTCCCCCACTCACCTGCCAGGTGAGTGCCTGTCCTGGCACTGCCTTTTCCCAGCACTGAAGGAATTTGTGTTTTCCCCAGACTTCTCCCTCTGGCTCTCCTGCCAGTTTTGCAGCGTGTCTGGATGGAGGCTGAGGGAGGGCAGGGATAGATGGGATATTGGGAAGGAATTCTTCCCTGGGAGGGTGGGCAGGCCCTGGCACAGGCTGCCCAGAGAAGCTGTGGCTGCCCCAGCCCTGGGAGTGTCCCAGGCCAGGTTGGATCAAAGGAACAACCTGGGCTGGTGGAAGGAGTCCCTGCCCATGGCAGGGGTTGGAATGAGATGCCCTTTAAGCTCCCTTCCGACTCAAACCAGTCTGTGATTCCCTGATGCTCTTTGCAGACCAAGAGTTTGATTTCTGCCTATGATTCCAAATAAAACCCCCTTAAACCTGCACTACTGTAACTATTGGATATTTCCAGATTATTTTTAACTACTAATCCAGTTTCTCATTGTTTGTTGTGGAAACCAGTGATATGTTTAGTGAGATTAAGCATAAACCCTTATGAATTCTGTCCAAATGAAAGCTATGGGAAAATACTGGAATGCAATATTTGCCAAAGGAACAGAGCAGTCTGATATATTATGCCTTGTGTATATTTGGTGTTTTTCTCTTGTTCCAGTGGAATGTTCTGTAGTAACTGGATATGACATTACTGTCTGCCCCAGCCCAAAGGCAGGCACAACTATGGTTAACATCTGGATGAATTAGACTGAAAACAGACATCCTCTGGTAAGGAATAGTTTCTGTTTCTTATGTCAAAATATGAAAGTTAAAGAGCTAATGGATTTTTTAAAATACCAGGTAATTAATTGACTTCATAATCCTTAATTTCTGTAGAAGAAAATGAAAGTATTGTTTGCTAATGATAATTTAGACTGGGAATGTGCTTTGAAAGAATGGAAAAGTTACAGGATTTACTGAGGGTAGTAAGGTATTACAAAAATCAATTTGTAGTTAGGAGTGGTGAGGACATGAGAGAGCTGGGTCCTGCTCCTGTTTCTGGGTGAGCCAGACTGACCATGTCACCCCTCTGCTCTGGGAAGGCCTGGTAGGATTCCCTGTCCAGTGTTTTACCTGCAGCTATTCCCGAGATGGGAATGCCTTTGGGAATGCAGTGAGGGGAGTGTGTTTCTGTGTCATTCATGAGGTTCACAGCACACAGTCTAAAGCTTGCCAAGCTCAGCAAAGAGCTGCTCAGTACGTTTAAGGAGCAGAGAATGAATTGTTTGATCCATCTTTATTACAGCTAAAAGCCATAATCTAAATAAACACACACATATTTATTTATATAAATGAATAATATATACATAATCCCATTGATTAGGGTGAACTGGACATTGCCCCTTGCCCAGCCAGTGCCTCTGGATCCATCCTTGTCCAGAACTGGAGCTGCAGCAGGAGTGTTTGCTCTCATGGCAGGTTTGTCTGTGGGAAACAACTCCAGCATGGAGAAATTGGAATCTGCAGCCTGTTCTGTCAGCACCTCCTGGGCTGCAGTGGCAGAGACATCCATAAAGCTACTGGGAATAGTTTTATACTGTGACAGAAGAAACCATATGTAGTACCAGAAACCCACAAATCTTCAAAGATAGGATGACTTGGTGGCATTTTGCAGCCAGACAGCTGTCACTCATAAATCTGAGTGAGCATCAGCTCTCCCAGAGCTCTGATAAAGCTGGAAAAGGCAAGTTCTGACCCATGCAGTGCTGGGAATACACTGGGTTTGGGATGTGTGGCAGTTGGTGGAGCTGTCTGTAATAAACACTCAGACTTTTCTAATTACAGGCTGTTAATCATGGACATGTTGTTAAAACTCTGCTTGCACAGGTTGCCAACCAACTTCTACCAACCCACAGGGCTCTGCACTCAAACCACTCAGTAGTGCAAGGAGATGCTGAACTGGATTTCATCTGTTTAGAGCCTGACTTGCTGCCTAAGCTGTGGGAAGCTCAATGCAGTATGTCAGGGGGACTTGGAGAATTTTATTTTTCTCTGATGTTTCTTGGATGGCCTTGCTGGCAAACAGTCAACAGGTAGAAATGAGAAAACATCTTCATTATATATATTATTTATTCTGTTAATATCTATATTCATTCTAAAGGCATATGTTTAAAAATCAACAGTGTCATTAGGTTTTTTCTCTTTTTGATTTTGAGTAACTTAGAGTCTGTAAGTCTTTAAAGTTCTTGTAGCTTGTAAAAGCAGTATGGGGGTATATTTATGGCATCAAATGAACTTGATTAGATTGAAAAAAGAAAAAAAGAAAATTGGATTAACTAAGAAGGGATGAAATGGAAATGGTTGGAAAAAAATAAATACATTTGGGATGAAACTGTGATTTCTGGAAAAAGCGTTTTTGAGAAGCACAGGGGTAGAAACAAAAATAAGTGTTTGGTGCTGTTTAGTCAATTAGAGAGTCATGGAAGCCAAGAGACATTTCTGAGGCTGAATAAGGGAAGTTGGGGAATTCAAGGCCAATGGGGAGGTTTGTGGTGGGTGACTGCTCTCGTTACAGGGTCAGGCTCTGTTGGTGCTCAGAAAAGGTCTCTCACAGCATTGCCAAACCTGATCTTCCTCATTAAAACCTTGGCCAGAGATCAGGCCATGGCTCCTGGGTCCAAAGGTGTTTCCTTTGGGCCTCAGCTCTTGCTCAGCCCGGTGGGACTGACAGGGCAGTGCCAGTGGCCAGCAGGGAGCTGTGGGACTGACAGGGCAGTGCCAGTGGCCAGCAGGGAGCTGTGGGACTGACAGGGCAGTGCCAGTGGCCAGCAGGGAGCTGTGGGACTGACAGGGCAGTGCCAGTGGCCAGCAGGGAGCTGTGGGACTGACAGGGCAGTGCCAGTGCCAGCAGGGAGGTGCCACCAGCAGGACAGGGGAAGGGGCAGGATGGGCAGTGCTGGCACTGAGGCTCCAGCAACGCTTCCAGTCATCTGCAGAGAGCCTGACATAGCTGGGGGAGGAAGTTTGGGAAGGTTTATCTACTCCCTGCCCAAAAATGTGATAATGTGATGCATTACTATTATTTTCATCCTCCTCTAAATTTCTCAGGACACTTGGATAGCTCTGGGAAGCCTTAAATCTGGATCTGTGGGTTTTACTGGAAATGTTTACATTCCTCAAGCTATGGTGAAATCTATTTCTGTTCACACAAGGCATAAACCTCCTCTAAATCCCACTTAGGCTCTGTTTGGAGACTGTCTGGCACTTTGACTTTCCCTGGCTCCCAGCAGCAGGGTTTGTTTTCCACTAGGCCTGTGCAAACCAAGTGTGAGAGTTTTTATCCTTGGGTATTGATGCACTGTATCCTTGCAGCCATAATCTACCTGCATGAGAGTTCTGGAAATTGCATTGGATGAGAAATTTGGGGTTTAGAGTCTTCAGAAACCTTAGTAAGAAAAATATAGATTAGCAGAATGTGTCTGCTAATGATCTAAAGGGGATGTCATCTGCTATGTTTGGCTTATTGTTTGAAACCTAAAGCTGAAAGTCCAAGGGGATAAAATCCTTGATTATAAGCTAGAAAAAAAATAAGAAAGGGGAAAAAAAAAAAAAATGCAACTAAGAGAGAATCAGGGACTTCCAGGTTCTGCATGGGCATCAAGTTCTGTCCAGGAAGACCAGGATGGAGATTTGGGAACCTGTGCTAGATCATCAACCGGTGACCTGCTGAAAGTTTCTGGGATACCAGAGACTGTACCTGACTTCCCCAGGATTTTGGCTTCTCTAGGCTGCCCCGGGACAGCCAATGATCATCTGCTGAGAGAGGAGTCTCTCAGATGATCTTTGGGTAGCAATTGGATCTCACGGTCCGTGGAGCAGATGGGTCAGGTGCTGCAGCCTGGGCAACTGATTGGAATCTGAAGAATGTCAGCTAATATTTACATCAGATGTTTACCCTTTGATAAGGAACAGGTCATTCACAGGCATGAACATGACACAGTATTGGTAGGCTGGTCACAGTGTTTGCTTTGCATTTTGCACACTTGTCCACCTCCTTGAGAACAGTTGAGTATTGTAGTTTGATCTGGATTAGTAGCTGTGGTTTTCCCCTTTATTTTCATGGAGCCATTTGTTTAAAAAGGGCAGTTCTACAGAAAGAGAGCTATGAAAGTTTGAACTCTGTTTATGTTTATTAAGGAAAATGCTCATTCTTGCTTCTCTGACAGAAAGATAGTGTTGGTAACTCCCAGGGACCTGCACGAGCTCACAAATGTAGTGTGGAGTGTCTTTGGTGCCAGGGGCTGTTTTTCCTGGGTTGTTGAGGATAAATCAGACTTCATAAAAAGAATACCTGTGTTTCTGATGGGTGATGGTTTGTTTGGGCAAGCATTGTATGTAACTCAGGTGAGTTATGGATCAATTCTGGCACCCAGCACAGTCTGAATGAGGTCAAACAAGACCAAACTGCAGTAGAAGAAATCCTGCCCATAAAAAACAGGTAACTTGTTAACTGACTGCAGTCTGGAGTCCCTGGTTTTTCTCTGTACACAGGTAATTTGCCAGAGATATGAGGCTTTGACCTTCTGAGTTGGTTGCAAAGAATTCAAGGTTGTGCAATGCAAACCACCTTTCCCGAGAACAGAAGAGGTTGATGCAGTGACTTGTATTTAACAGAGGTCTGGGAGGGACTGGAGTCTTCAGCAGGACACAAATTGGCTCTTAACACTTGGGGACTGTTTGATAATGTTTGGGTGAAGTGTTTTCAATGCAAGCACCGGTACCTGAGCTGAGAAATCGTACAGCACGAGCTGCTCAGTGGGAATTTCCTGGCATTGCCTTGCCACTACTATTTTATCTTGGTTTTCCTATCATTATTATGGTGGAAACTTGGAACAAATGTTGTTTTGAGACAAGACATCATTATCTTAGCCCAAAGTCAGCCCAGCCTCATGCAGTGTCCTCTGTCATATGGGTTTTGTTCTTCCTCACCCATCAGCCTGCTGGGAAGCCTTGGACAGGCCCCATTCCCTCCAGACACCCTGTTTCTCTTCTGTGTTTCTCTCATCTCTCTGTTTGGTCAGATGATAAAGCAAAGAGGATGTGCTTTATATTTGCAAACTGCTTCACACACAGGGCTGTGCTCTGTGTGGGGTCCCGTGGGTAGTACTGGGGTAAATATAAATGTAATAAACCAGTGGATGGAAGTCAAGTCCACACAAGTGTTGATACACTTTCCTTTGTCTTCCAGTGGGTTTGGTTCTGATAGACTTTAATTTAACATTTTTCTTCTTGCTTTCAGTGGTTTACAATGAAAATACTGCAAGCCTGTCTGGAATGTGCACGTTGTATTCCAGCCTTGCCAGAGCATTTCTGAGGCCCAGAGACAGCGCAGTCCCTGAGGGAGCTCCACCACCTCCCTGAGAACAATAATGGCCTTGTTCTTGTTAGGTGAGCTTTAAGTACATTAATGTTTTTCTCTTATGTGGGAAAGACAAGGCAGTTTTCACACAGTTCCTTAAACACACTGAGATCAGTGATTGTGCTGCCAGGGTTTAGGAAATATCTTCTCCAAGAGAAATATGACAAGTTTGCCCTAAGGTGTGTTTCAGTGTCAGAGGTCCTTACCTTGGTCTTCTAAAATACTGATATATTTCCTCTTATTTCTGGTATCACCTGAGTAAAAAATTCTTCACTGTATTCCCAAATTCACTGTACATCACAATCAGGAGATTGAAACAATGAGGGAAAAGAGATGCTGGGAATCACTGGAATAGGAAACCAGAAGAGAACTCTCACTGATAGACATAAACCAAACCACAAGTGTTATTTCTACAATTACTGTGGAAGGTTAAAGCCAAATTCTCGTGGTAAATCAGGGTGGCTCCATTAACTCCTGTGGGTCTGTGCCAGCACATCCCAGACAGAGACTTGGCTCTATTTATAGCACTGTCAGGAACAGAACTGCTTGGAGTGGTTCCACTGGGAGAAAAATTTGATTAAAACAAGGCAGATAAGAATGACAGAGGAATCTGCCCTCTGGGGCTGCTGTGGAATGTGGCTCCCAGGGGACTGGATCCCCTGCACTTCCCAGCCCCTCCAGGTACTGCTGAGCATTCCCAGCCCAGACCCCCAGGGCCCCTGTGTGCTCAGTGTGATGGCAGCTGTGGCACAGTCTGAGTCTGCACTAATGCCAGGGCAATCCTTCACTTGCTTTTTAGCTCTGTGGCTTCAGAAAACCCAAGGTTCCCTTTCACCAGGTATCGAAGGTTTTTATTTCTTTAAAGTCCTTAATGTGCTATGGTGGCAAGGATGGGGATTGTCATCATCAGCCATTGACCCTTCATATTTCCTGTGTGACCCAGTTATTCAGGGACACACAATAAAGTTTCACAGCTGTGTTTTAGATGATCTTTAAAGACGGAGAGAAGTTCTCCAGGCATCCTTGAGGTGATTTCTTACTGAAATTTCAAAAAAAAGCCCAGCAGAAATTCCCACTGTGTGGTGTTAGGCTGTTTTCAGTTCCCAGAAACTAGTTAATTTATTTAGTGTGCCTCACCAGTCCAAGTTTCATTTATAGATTAACTTGTGTATTTTGGCTCCTATCCATCTCTTCCTTTGGCTCAAAATGAATGATACCGGGACTGTCTTTGAAACAAGGCAGGAATGTGAAGTTTTTTGATTACAGAGCAACATCATCCCTAAAACCTCTCTTTCTGCCATCTTTGTAAGGCCCTGCCACAGAAATATGACATTGGAAATGGCAGATCAGGGTCTGGTGAGTTCAACCTTTGTGAAGAAATCAGACATGTAATATTCTGGAGAGCTCTGGAAACAGTTTGTGTCTCCTCAGAAGGCCTGTCACTGGAGCAACAGTTTGCTTTATTTAATAACTAATCAGTCTTCAGAGCTGTTTTAAGTGAGGATTACTAACCAAGGTCACTGGCCAGCATCTGTGTGGTGCCAGGCTCAGTCCTTTCTGAGGGGCTGGTACAGCCTGTGGGTGTGTCAGGGGGTTGAAGCTCACGGGGGGTCACACTGGTGGTGGAAGCATCTCCTGTGTGTCTTCTGTTGGCCCCTTGAGTGGCTGCTTGTGGAGATCCATTTGTGAAAGCAAACCTGGGGGCATCTTGCACAGCCATCAGAGGAGCTGTCCGGTGCTGCTGATGAGCACAGGCTGTTTTCTGTACTCTGCAGAAGTGGTGTATTTGTTGTAGGTGAACTCTGAGCTGGTGCTTTTTTCTAGTCCATTTGCTGTGTTTGCAGGGGGGTTCCTGGCTGCAGCCATAAATATTGACTGTCTTAAAAGCTGTGACCTTTTACTGACGTCAGAATGTCTCATCACGATGCTCTCTCAGCCTCAAGGCACTTTCTATGAGTCTCTGTGAAAAAGTGAAATGAGAATCCTCCCACTGAGTTTTTTCACGTGTTTCTCTTTCTTTTAAGGACCTTCTAGATGTTATTGGAATGTGACTACAGAGAAAAATGTTCTTTTCTAACGACTCGGTTGTGGACTTTTGATCAGCCTTGGATTTGTAGGAATACTGCAGCATGGCTTCATTTGGGAATGAGATGGAAAGGTGGGCTCACAGGCAAGGTGGCAGAAGTGGGACGGTGGTAGAACCTGCGATGTCCCCTGGAAATGATGATCACCTTTTGCCAGTGAAGACGATTGGCAGCACAGACCGTGCCCTGCAGCTCCCCAGAGGAGCAGACTCTGCATACAGCTCTTTCTCAGGGGGCTCAGAGTGTCCCCCCCGCTCGTGCTGTGGGCAGTGCTGCCGTTTGCCCTACATGGACTCGGAGTACGTCAGGGGAATTTACAACCTCAGTGCTGCACCCCCGGAGCTCAGAGCCCTGCAGCCACACAGGGCAGCAGGGCTGAGCACCCCTCCCAGCTCTCCCAGCCCCAGCCTCCCCGATCGCTGTGGAACCGCTCCCACCCGAGGGACTTCAAATCAGGGCCCTCCGCCCCTGGCAGCACCTCCACCTTCCCCTCCCACACGGCTCCACAGCTACAGCATCACCAGACACCGTGAGCACTCAAGAGGGGGACACAGCTCTGGAGGGCACAGTGAGTGGAAGGCGCAGCCAGCTCCTGGTGTGCAGGACAGTCAGCTGGCACACAGGGATGCACCAGGGAGCCAGCACTGGGATGGACTTACAGAGAGAGACGTACGGCCTGCTGGGGAAAAGACTCTGGAAAACAAGGGCCTTTCCTCTGATTCTACAAATGAGGTATTTATATCAAATGTTCAGGGGTTAAAGACAGGGGGAAATGGAGAGTGGAGCCCACCCCAACAACCTACAAAGAGAAGCAATCCACACATTTTCAGCAGACCTTCTTCGTTCATTTTTCAAGAGTATTTAAAGACAGACTCTGTGGCAAATGTGCCCAAAATACTTTCTGCTTATAATTCAGTTCATGCTTATAGAATTCCCAACGAGAGGAACTCCAAGTCCTATCACCCAGCACATTCCAAGCCCACCACTGTTAATGATCCACAAGAAGTCAAACAGTGTCCCTGTGGGGTGCAGGAGCCAACTGCCAGAGGAGAGACTCTGCCAAGCACCGTGCCAGGACCCAGCCAGAGAAAGGGGCCCTTGCCCCGTGCTCAGGACCTGCTCTGTGCCCAGCGGCATCCAGATGTGGATCAGGATGTGTTTGAGGACAGCTGTGACTTAAAATATATGGAGAATGCTCTCCTAATTAAAAATGCTTCCGGGAAGCTGAACAGTTGTACAGACAAAGATCAGTGCTATAATTCTGAAGGAAAAATTGGGAGAGGTGTCAGGGAGCCAGTCCTGAATCAGCAAGCCAGAGTGCAGAGATCAGCAGTGTCCTGCAGCTGCGAGGCTGTGGAAGCAGAGCACCCTCAGCACGAGGGGCTGGATCAGGGAAGGGAGCAGTGCTGTGACACCAACAGCCACATGGCTTTCTTCACACCAAAGAAAGATTCCACATCTCACTCAGTACGTGAATCCCAGGAAGGAAAACAGCCCAATAACAGCAATCCTGACCTCAGCACGTGTCTGGAACAAGAGGATCCTCCTGTTCAGAAACACCAACCTGAATTCCAAACCAAGCTCTCAAGACAGCTGTGGGAGGACTGTGCTGGTGAACAAATAACCAGGCAGATGACTCCCATGCTTTACTATCTTTCTGGGGGAAACCCAGCGATGTCCCACACCCCAGCCAGCTCCCCCACAGCCAGGAGGACTCCAGGAGGTCACCGAAGGCAATCCCTTCCAGCGGCTGTGCTGCCTCAGCACAGCGTGTGGAGGTGCCCAGGGAAAGCCCTCAGTGCCAGGGGCCCAGCCAGCACCTCAGGGGCAGTGCTGACCTCCTGCTCCTGAGCCAGGACCTCACCCTCGGCAGCCCCGCTTCACTCACTGAGGAGAGCTTCAAGAACGACTACAGAGAGAAGCTGAAAGTGGCTCAGAAAAAGGTTCTTAAAGAAACCTCCTTTAAGAGAAAAGACTTGCAGATGAGTTTGCCTGTCAGACTGAGACAGAAACCCTCGAAAAGGCCATCAATTGAACACCTTCGGTCTTTCTCGTTGTCCGGTGCAAACGAGGATGCCAAACCTGTTCTTTGCTCCCCTTCTCATCTACAATCATTGGAAAGTTTCAATAAAGATGAAGAAATACAGAAGCCACAAACAGGTCGAGTAGGGGGAAGGAAAAGGGTAACCAAAGAGGAAAAGAAACTGTGCTATTCTGAGCCTGAGAAGCTCGATCAGCTAATGGATAAGGAAGTATCTTGGAGTCAAGTTAGGGATGAAATCACTGAGCAAGATATTGTGGCAGCCGGGAGAAGGGGTCTGGAGAACGGAGGAAGGGCACTTTCCAGTTCCAGTATCTCCAGGACAGAGCTGAAACAAATCCAGCACACTGCACTGATGGAATACATGGAGAGAAAGATCAGTCAGAGGCCAGGTGGTTCACAGCAACTCCCTCTGCATCAGCCACCCCTGCAGAAGAGGCTGTCACATCCCAGAGGGCCTCCTGGCAAGACTTCCAACCCAAGTGGGAGCAGTAAGATGCAAAATGATGAGGTTTTCCACCAAGTTTTCTCTAGGGAAAAATCACCAGATGTTTTTCCTGCCTTGGCTTTTGCTGCCGTGCCGAGCGTGAGCAGCAGGGGTGATCCCAGCAGAGCACAGGGGAGCTGCACCAGCAACTGTCCTGCAGCTGAAAGGCTCCCACAGGCAGGTGATGCTGCATCTGGGAGAGCTCCTGACAGACCACAATCCACTCCTCCTTCCCCACGGGTAAGACAGAGATCCAGTAGCTACAGGGGCCCTACAGGAAAGTCAGAGAGGGACTTTGCACTTTTTCCAAGGGCCTGACGTGGCAGGAATAGAGGGGGAAAGGCCTCAGACTGACAGAGGGCAGAGTTAGATTAGAGGCTGGCACTGAAATCTTCCCTGTGAGGGTGGAGAGGCCCTGGCAGATTGTCCAGGGAGACTGTGGATGCTCCATCCCTGGAAGTGTGCATGGGAGTATAGTTCAAGAGCTGCCTCTCTGCAGTGCTGGTTGTCCCAGTGTGCTGTTTTCCCTTGCAGGACATGTGCAGATGTGCCAGTGGTGCAGCAGCACCGTCCCAGAGCTGCGAGGGCTGTGCCAGCTCCCCCAGGTGAGGCTGTGAGGTGTGACCTGCAGGGCAGCCGTGGCTGGCTGCTCCCATCCTTTTCTCTCGGGATCCCTCCGTGTCCATATGGGAGTACTGCCCATCTGGGACAGTCTTTAAAACCATTTCTGCCGTGTGAAGCACGGGCTGGGAATGCTCTGAGCTGCTATCCCTGCACAGTTGGATCTCTGGGATCACAGCTCCCTCATCTGAGCCCTGGAGAAAACAGCATCTCCACCAGCTCGGAAATGCCCAGGCCTGGAAAGAGTGTGATCAGAGGGGTGCAACGGGGGCTTTGGGTGAGCTTGTTTAAAGGAAAAAAACACTGTGCCCTTTACACCTCACTGACTAAGAAGTTTGTGTTTTAACTCTTCATATTTGCTTTGCTGGTTTGAGGAGCATCAGGGGAGAAAACTGTCCAAACCCTGTCTCAGCAAGGCAGTGATGCTGACTCTTGTGTAGTAAAAGAATTCCCACTGTTTCAGTCATTCAAAAATATCCCAATAGTTTCTGGAGGCTTCATTAGCTTAGGAAAAAAAAAAAAACGTATTTTAGCAATATTTTGAAGTTTTTCTTAAATTGCCTAGTTTAGCAGTAAATTTCCAGTTACTCTCATGCTGACTAGGAAGTTCCAGAGAGAACTGTAACATCAGAAACATTTGATCATAGCTCATAAACAGTCTGAAAAGTGTCTGTCAAAGAGGGAATGTCTCACATAAAAGGAACTGTCTTCTTTCTTACAGTTTCCATGATCCTCAGGAAGATGGATCCAAGAATTGTGGACGTAATGACACCACTGGACATGCATGTTTTCAGGATACTGAGGAGCTGACTCCTGAAACCTCTATTCCTATCCCAGGAAGTGGAAGCGAGGAAGGTGCTGGAGTGGAGGAGGAATGCAGATCTCAGTCTCCGAGTGGGAATGCTGCCCTAAAGCCTCTAGAGCAGCATCCTGCAGCTTCTCCAGAGCAGCATCCTGCATCTTCTCCAGAGCAGCATCCTGCATCTTCTCCGGAGCATCATCCTGCAGCTTCTCCAGAGCAGCATCCTGCATCTTCTCTAGAGCAGCATCCTGCATCTTCTCTGGAGCAGCATCCTGCATCTTCTCCGGAGCAGCATCCTGCAGCTTCTCCGGAGCATCATCCTGCAGCTTCTCCAGAGCAGGGAAGGGACCCCCCCCCAGCACTGCCTCTCCAAGGAGACAGAAATGCAGCCCCAGGTCTCGCTGCACAGGAGGATGCTGCCCTGGGGAGAGGGACTCACCTGCCCAGGAGGAGGCTGCGCTCTCCTCACGACCAGCGGCACCGGGAGCTGGCGCTGGAGATCGTTGCCAAGGACAGGTCTCTGGTGGACGTTCTGCTGCCTCATCCTGACAGGAAAACTGCTTTGGACCTGATGGAGGGTTTGTTTCCTGTTAACATTTGCATGCTGGATAAATCCCACGGGGAAGAGGGCAGCCTACAGCACGTGCAGGAGAACGAGTAAGTAGACAAAGCCAATCATCTGGTGTTCTTGTGGTTTAGTGTACCAATATCATGTATATACGAGTAGTAAGATGAATTTCAGCATATTGTTTTATTTTTGTTCTGTTAATGAAATATTTTAGCTTTCTGATTTGCATACCAAGAAATATCTGAGGCTGTGGATGTAAGATGGAAGGAAAGTGTTTCAGTGATGCCTTGTTGAAGGGCCTGTGACAGACCTAGGCTGCAAATCTTTTGCTCTGTATCTTTTAAAAAATTAGAAAAAGTCCTACTGTGAGAAGAGAGGAGAGTGATTCTGAAGGCAAGATGGATAAAACCACGAACACAGTGTTTGAGAAGGAAACATTGTTTGCTACATGTGTTTATTTTCTGTTCCAATGGCAGGAAAAGTCATAGAGATGGCCCAGAAGAATGTCCTGATTCTGAACATGAAGCCAAACCAAGGAGCAAAGAATCTACCTCTGAGGGACACCAAGTCCTGACCAGGAGCAGGGACAGCACAGACGACCCAGATGACATCACATCTAAGAAAGTATGTAGATGACAGCAGAGGAACCATCAGGACAAAGTTGTTATTATTATTAATGTAATTATTATTATGGATATTTTTATGCCAGTAATGTTCCAAAGGTAACTTTGGATTAATTTTTGCCAGTAAGTGAAGTCCTGGCAAATTGGCTTATTGATCATAAGTGGTGATATTTAAATCCTGCCTGGTTTGATTCAGATCTCTCATCCCACAAACTTGTCTCCATTAGGTCACTGGGGATGGATGTGCCTGGAACAAGCACAGGGTTGGTTAAAGATTTCCTTGCATGGCCAGCTCCTGTGCAGTGACTGACTCTCCATCTAACACTCAGATCTACTCTGAGAATCTGCAAAGTTAATTACAACTCGCAGCCTAAACAAGAAATATTTTTTACTCAAAGGACTGGCAGCAGTTTCTGCACATTCCAGTGTTCAGTCAATTCCATACATGCAGGGAATAGGGTAGGTTGGACAAAGCTGAGCTGTGACAGAAGTACAGAGCTTGGAAGGGCAATTGAGCAGCTTTGCAGAGTTAGATGGGCTTTCTCCCCTGTAGAAACCAGCCATGCTCCACCTCAGGTAATGCCAGTCTGCCTTCCTGGAGCTGCTCCTGCTGTGCATGTGGTGATGTCCTTCATTACCCACTGTCTGACTGCTGGTCCTGTCCAGCTCCCAAAGAGCTGGTGATGGTCTTCCCACTGCCATCTCCAGGCCTTTCTCCATATCAGCATCTCCCTGTCAGACTCCTCTCCTTGCTTTGCTGCCCAGGCACTGTGACCTGCTTGAATCACCCACGGAACTGGTGCATGTGATAACTGAAATTCCAGTCAGTTCTTCCAAAGTGTGGTTCAGAGCTGTGGCTTCCTGCCCTGGATGTCTCAGAGCACAGCCCTGTGCCATGGCATAATCTTTATTGCAGTTCCCTTCTGACAGATTGAAGCTCTCTGAGCTAGGGATTATATTGCCCATTAAGGTGATTTGCTTTTCAGAGTTTGAGAATTAAGTATGGCTTAGAAATAGTATAATTTTTTTCCCTTTTTCTTTCCTGGAGCTTAAAATTCTTTTAGAACTCAAAAATTCGGCAAAGACGACGCGAAGCAAATCCATTCTCCAGAACCGACGTGGATTCTCTTTGGCAATAACAGCTTTCTGGGGTTGTTTTTTCCCTGTGCAGCTGGAGCTCATGGGCAGCCTCCGGGCCAGGCTGCAGAGCCTGTGGGAGGAGCGGGAGCTGGTCCTGCAGGAATCCAGGGAATGCGCCGAGCGGGGCCGGGCACTGGAGGCCACGGTGCGGGACCTGTGCAAGCCCAACGAGTTCCAGCGCTACCTGATGTTCATCGGGGACCTGGAGAAGGTCGTGAGCCTCCTCCTGTGCCTGTCCAGCCGCCTGGCCCGGGTCCAGAACGCCATGAGCAGGATGGACGGCAGCACAGCGGAGGAGAAGGTGAGTGGTGAGCCAGAGTTGGGTTTGGTTGGGTGAGCACAGGAGGGCACAGTGAGCTCTGCAGGAGGGGGGACAACAGCAGAACCCTGCGATGGTCGAGCCACAGGGGTGGCCTCTGGACCCTCGGGCTGCTCCCTGGGGAGTAGCTCCAAACCTGGGCTTCATGAAAACGTACTTCACTGAATGGGCTTGTTCTGGAGAGCAGGAAGAAGCTGTGGTCATAACTTGAGATAAAATGCCCTGTAGTTTAACTCATCTTTGCTGGAAAATGAGGAATTGCCTCGTGTCACCAGGAGATCCTTTCAAGTCTGAAAAGTCTCCTTTTTGCTAGAGAACACAGGCCAAATTTATCCCAGGAGTGATGTTTCTCTGCTGTCCTTGTTGCTTTTAGACATGTTTTAATCAACACAATACCTGCTGTTATCTCTCATTTGGAAACCAGAAAAGCACAGAGTTACAAAAACCGTGATTTTCTGGAGCTGTGCTGCTGCTGACCTGCAGCTCAGGAGGTTCATCATGGTTCACCAGCAGAACAGCACTAAAAAGGTCCTTCCATGCAGTGTGACACAGAGAGTAGGATTTACCACCTCCAAAATGTCAGTTGTGTTAATGTGAATAATTTTGAGCAGTATTTCATCCAGACTTTGGCTTTGTGGTTGGCAGGGAGGGTGTTGTTTCTCTAGTGTTTCTCTATTTAGTCTCTTCCTAGGAAATGCTTTTAAATCACTCAGATGTTTGAATAACATGCCCGATAAAGACTTGGTTATGTCCCATCATTTTCACAGCCATCTCCCACTCCCTGCATTTGCCCTGATGTCAGCAAAAGCAGCAGTCTCAATCTTTGACTCCATTTTTAGGGTGTCGATAGTAATGATTGATCTGTGCTGGATTTATGGACACTGTCCTGAAATGGGACATTTTCTAGCAGTGCAAATGTGAAAATCATTACAGCTGAAAGAGACTTGGCTAAATGTGAAAGGTATAAAAATCCTGTAGAACAAGCAAGGCCTGACTCTTGTGGGTTTGTTAAGAAGCCTTTGATGAACAGTTACTCTCTACATCACAGTTATTTTATTGCACATACCTTTTAATAGAAACCACTCTATCTTTTTAATATGTCATTGGCACTCTCTGACCACATGCAGTGCACCAAATACAAAGACATGTGCCTTAAAGAGCTTCTAATTGAATGAAGATGGCTACAGGATGCCTTAAAATGCCCAGAATGTTAAGTATATTGATGTTTTTCCTGAGGGCAGCATGGAAGAAGTGAGCCTTGCTGGGGTTTACCATGTCTTTACCTTACAAGCCACAAGAATGAGTAATTCAATCGAGAAAAAACTCAAGTGGAACACAAAGCCCACAAGAGGAAGTAATTAAATTAAATCGACTGTGGCTTCCAAACGAAGAACTGGAGCCTGCCAGGAATGCTGAGCTCTCACGGGTGCTGCTCTGTTCTCTCACTGCAGCACTCGCTGAGCGCACGGCACGAGCTCCTGTCTGGGCAGTGGGAGGACGCCAAGGACCTGAAGGACAACCTGGATCGCAGGGAACGGGTGGTCTCTGGAATCCTGGCCAAATACCTGACGGAGCAGCAGCTCCAGGACTACCGACACTTCGTTCAGGTCAAGACCTCCTTGCTGATTGAACAGAAGGACCTCGAAGAGCAGATTAAGTTTTTCGAAGAACAATTAGAAACTCTTGAGCAAAGTCTCCCCCTCTGACACCCACCCCAGACTCTGGTGGTTGTGACCTGTCCCTGGAAATCCGCAGGCACCCACGGCACAGGGCTCACTTGGGTGAGTTCTTCCAGCCCTGCTGGTGCCACAGCACTGGCAGGTGCTCAGATGCTGTGGGGGTGCTCCAGGTACACCCTGGACGTGTATTCCACCTGGCCAGGCCCACTGACAGCGTCTCACAGTGTGCAGCAAACTGCCTTTGGGACGTGACTGACAGGATATGTTGCTCCTGTTAACTCGGCGGGTATTTACCCTTGTTGTCTGTCCATCTGTTCCTAGATTGACACAATCTCAATAAAAGAACAATACAAAAATTTGCCTCCTGAGGGTGGGCTGAATGTTTGAAATGAAAAGCCATGTGTGTGCTCAGATGTGAGTGGGGGATTGCACAGAGCCATAGGAAATGTTGTGGACCATTGCAGTGAAAGTCCTGCTCTCGTTTCTGCTGTTCAGATGTGTGACACAGTAAAAATACACTGTAATGGAAGAAAATAATTACTTCCTTTCTTGGCAGTTGCCATCCCTGAGTCTTTCCTGGCTCTGTGCAATCCTGGTAGGCTGTTCAGAGGAGGTCAGAAAAAGAGTGGTCCCCACCAACATCAGAGAGCTGATCTGTGATGGAGCCAGCTTAAATGAACAGTTTTGGGAATCATAAACTCTGAGCTTATTCCTGCACAGTCATTTGCAAAAAGCCCTTGCTGTGCTTTTGAAGTGTTTGATTTTCAAGCAGCACATTCAGGAGGTTGTTTTTGGGTAGTTTTCAGTTGTCAGCATGCACAAGAAGCCTGAATGAGGGGGAAGAGCTCTGCTGCAGCGTGGGGCGGGTGGGAGCCCTGGAGGAGGTTCCTCTGTTTCAGTGAGACTTTATATAAATCCCTTGGCAAACGTCTTTTAAACAAATGTGTGTTGAGTCAAAGCAGTGATGTTGCTGTATTTAAAATCTGAGTGTGTTCTGCTTGTTTGTAAGTATTCAGAGAGAACAATATTCCATCTGAGCTACATACCTAGACCATGAATAAGGCAGCCACTAATTGAACTCAGGTTTCTTCCACAGCCAGAATAGATGTTCATTGTCCCAGACTGTTGGGCTTTACCAAGAAATGTTTTACTAGTGGTGTGTGTCCTGACTACAGTAAGTATCATCACCACTGACAGAAGCTGTTCCTGAGGCTTCTCCTCCTTTGGAATTGCATTTCACTGGGCACAAGAACTCCAGGAGCACAGAGACCAAGCTGCCATGTGGTTATTGCCTTAATACCTGGGGGAAAATGGCCAGACACTGCAGATCCTGTGAGTAGATCTGCTCAGTGGTTCTCAGAAGGCCCTAAAGACAGGCTTTTAATATGCAAATCTGAAAGCTGCCTTTTGAAAATGGTCTTTAAAATAACAGAAGTGATGCTAACAGAGTCAGTGGAGAATTTTAAAACATGTAAGTGATGTTAAATGAGCTGTTTGCATGGTTTGAGAAGCCTGACTCAAAGGTGCAGTTTATTCCTGTTATTCCTTGTTGAGAGAAAAACACCTGATTGGAAATAACTGTTGGGTAACAGAGCTTGCCTTTAAGGGGAAGAATAGACCTACCCTGTTTAGCTTCTTATCTTTTGGGGGGTTGGTGTCATGGGAGGGTGATTGCTGCTCCTTCCACACCAGCATTCACGGGTATGCTGCAAAGAGCACCCTTAGAAAGAACTTGTACTCTGTTTTCAAACAGTTCACATCTCTTAACTCCCTGGTTACTCCGTTAGAACTGTGAGTCCCAGGCAAAGTGGAAAATGGACACAGTGATGGCACCAGAACCTCTTTGCTGGCAAGCAGAGACCCCCTTTCTGAAGCAGTGGCAGATCTGGATTGTCAGGTGGGTCTCAACTTTGATACTGATTGTTTGTTATCCATTTATTACAAGGGTGATGGTGATGGTCACTCTGGGCTGCAGCCATGTGCAGCATTCCTGGCACACCAACATACTCAGATGTGGGCTTTTAAAAATCACAGTCTGATGTGCAAATAGTGATTTACCTGCTCCAGGTGAATGGTGAGGAGCAGCCCTGGGCACCTTTGGGACTGGTGAAACACTCCTTGGTTGCTTAATATTGTAGTCATTACCTGCAGGATGAAGACACAGCCTGTTCCTGATGATGGGCTGCATCTCCCTTCAGCAGCATGGAGACATGTGCTGGCCACAGACCCCTCTAGGGAGGCCAGTGAACTTACCTTTAGCTGCTGGGAGACAGGACCATGTCAGGCAGGTGGTGTCCACATCCCCTGGCTGATCTTCTTGTCTTCACATCAGTTTGTATTATTCACTTAAAATCCCTTCTCCATGTAGAACTTACAAACTGAACTTGTTTGTGGGGCTGGCAGGACTGTGTCCCAGTGATGGAGATGCTGAATGTCCTGTAGCTCAGCCAGTTTAACACAGGGTAGGAGTGCCTGCTTTTGAATCCTCTGCCTTTTGCTGATCGTTTGGTATTTAGAGGACTAATTATATCCCCACACCAATAACCACTGTTTATGTGGCAGCTTTTTCCCAACTTCAAGCCATGTGGTTTAGAAGTCAAGATGACCAGAAATGCAGAGCATCTTTGTGTTTACAACACTGTGATCTCACACTGCTCAGAGAGGTTTCTCTGACCCTTTACCATCAGAAGACAAATTTAAGACCTGAACTGTAAGTAGCAGTAACTGGCGGTCTTCCTGGGGAAGAAAATCTTGCAAATGTAAGGATTTTGGAAATGAAACCCTGTGCAGTGCTCGTACATTATTACTGTTCCTACTCCTCCTCAGCAGCCTCCCCTTTGTGACTCGTGCAGCAGAGACACCGAGTTCCCTCTGCCCACAGCCCTGGGGAGCTCTTGGCTTCCAGGGCCTCTGGGCAACTCCCCCGTGCTGAGGCTGCTGAGCCACTTCAGTGTGAGCAGAGTCAGGGGTGAGTGAGGAGTGCCTGGGACTGACCCCTGGGAGAGCAGGCAGGAAATCCCCGCTGTGCCCAGCCCTGCCAGGTGCTGCTGCAGCCTGAGGGCTGATCCTTTAAATGCCAGGGAGAGGCACCGTGACCCAGCCCCACGGGGAAGGGGAGCTGAGGGTGAAGGAGTGACAGCTGCACCCAGGGAAGAGCAGAAGAGGAGCGCTGAGGAGGAGGAGGAGGTGACACAGGCGAATGCAGGAGCCCGGATCTCCCCGTGGAGCGGCTGCTGGGATTCCAGGAGATCTCTGCAACTCCTGTGGCCACCCACGCACGGGCAGTGTGGGAGAACGGCAGCAGCTTCTGTTCTGCTAAGCAGAAGGAGGTGGCCCTGATTTGGGATAAGAAGATGCCCTGTATGGCCTGAGGCAGAGCAGGAGCCGGGGGCACAGGTGTGCGGGGCAGGAGCGGTCAGTGGAAGCAGCAGCACGTCCTGCCCATCTGTCTTGGCAGCAATTGAAAAGATTGTAGACATTTTAGAATTTCATTTAACACCCACTGCAATGTGTGAGAGTCACTGCTGGATCAGGAGCTGCTGTTTCAGCCTCTTGGGCTCTAAATTGAAGGATCTTAATTATTTTGTTTTAAGCCCCAGCCTCATTTTCTTCACTGGCGTGTTATGCTGGGGAACTTCTGCATGTAGAACTGATTAAGGAATGAAGGGCTGCAGGAGTTAATGCAAATGTACTCTGCAAAAGATCTATTTGGTGCTTGTGAGAGCTGCATTTAATAAGTAAAAAGATGTTCTCTCTGCTTTGGGAATTCATGGCAACCATCTGAATAATTTTTAAAAATAAACTCGGAGCAGAACTGCAAAACTAATCTGTGCCTGAAGGGAGCCCACGTAGACATTAAAGAATAATCAGCCTGTAGGAATCATGCAACCTCTGGGGTTCACAAAAGGCTCTCAAGAAGCAGCACATGAATTTCACTGCTAAACGAAGAGAGGCATTAAAGGTTATCAGAGAGACTCTAAAATACCCCATGAGCCTTGAAGCTGAGTCATCTCAGAGATAAATCCACAGAGAGAGAATATGGGCTGCACAGATAGTCTTGATTTAGAGAATAAGAGACACTTCTAAAAATGTGCATGAAGAGCCAGAGGTCTTTTTAATGGGCTCAGCACGTGGTGGAAGAGCAAGAACATCCCAAACTACCTCAAATGGGAACCACTTGTGAAACAATTCCTCCAGAGATCCCTGCCCTGTGCCAGCTCCCAGTGCCATGGCTGGTGCCTGCAGGACCCTCCTCTGGGTGCAGCAGCTCCCTCCTGAGCACAAGGTGAGTGTCCTGCAGTGTCCCAGGGGCTGCCTGGAGAGGCAACACCTGCTGGGGTGACCATCTGCCTCATGCAGGAGGCACTGGGTGAGGACAACCAGGGCACCTGGAGGCCCCTGGGCAGGGCCTGGCCCCCCAGGACCATGACCTTGTGTCAAAGGCTTGTGCACTTTGGGACTCGGGTTCCACTCAGGGGAAATGAAGGTTATTTGGTTTGTGTTAGCAGTAAGTCCACAGCACTTGTGCTTCTTGGCTGGGGTCTCTGACCTTGTCTGGAGGGTCTCAAAGTGATGGGGATGGATGGTTTTTCTCTTGGGAAATGGGGGTTTGGGTTTGGCTGGAAACTTGTGCTCTCAGATGAAGAAAAGAAATAACACTCTAACTGGGCAAACACAGAGCAGAATTCTTACCAAGGAAGGGAAAGCTGAACACTGGCAGCATCATTTTTGTTGTGCACATCTCTATTTTCTACCTGCAGAAAGGGAAGAAGGCATACTAAAGCTGTGCTAATATTAACAGCAGGGATCTGTTTTGCCTGGTTTGGGGTTACAAACAGGATAAGGGCTCGATGTGCTTCATGACTTGCTTTGTCTTATAAATTAGTGACATAAACCTTGGAACTGGAATAGGAATGTTCCTCATTAGGAGGCAGTTTTTGATCTGTGCTGTCCTGCTCTGTCCCTGTTCTCCCCCTGCAGGGGGGAGAAACAAACCCCACGCTGTTCATGCCCAAGCTGCACTCTGGCCAAGTCCCTGTTAACAACCTTTAATTTGGGGGTCCCACAACAGTACAAATGACTGGAGAGAGCAGAAAGTGCCATGTTGCCATTTTACTCAGATTAACATGCAAATCAGGAGACAAATGCATCCGAGGAATGTAGGTCATGGTGAAACATGAAGAGTGGGAGCAAGGGGCAAGCGATGGAGAATTAGCAGACTCTGGGAAGGCCTCCTCTACCTCCAGCTGGTGCCTGCAGCTCCTGTTGGTCTATTGGAGTTACTCAGCAACTCTTCCACTGGACCTTGGGTTTGTGATGAAGCTGAAATCTCATTCAGACTCCTCTGCAGTGCAGAAGCATTTCCCAGGGCTTTCCTAGTCCAGGTGCTTCTTGCAGCACCCACAAGGGAATGGAGATGGCCAGAAACCTCTGTGAGCCTGATGCCACCCGTGCTGCCTCACCCTGCTCAAACACATCCAGGAGGACAAAGTCTGCCCCTCTGTGCAGAATCACAGCTGGAGGTTTGTTTGCAGAGCTCCTCAGGGAAGGTTTGTGAGCTGATACTTGTCAGACAAAATGTCTGAGGAACAGATAAACCAAGTTACCCCTAGCAGACTGAGCCAGGGTCAGACAAACATTAGCTCTGCTGATCTCCAGTGCTGCTGAACTAAAATCCAAGCTGGTTTTATTTGTGTAGGCGCTCCACTGAATGACACTGCTCATGCTGCCTCCAGCTCTAAAAACATTATCTTGATTTCAGTTGGAGTATCGGCACAGACTGTGCTTTAAGCAAGTGACCAAGGTGATTATCTCCATTTTATAGCAGGAAAACTGAGACGTGGCAAGTAGGCAGGGTGGTAACCAAGGCAAAATACAATCTGGGCTCCTGTGCCTTATCTGTGCCTTCCATTGCCAGCCTCCAGAAGCTGCCACCCCTCCCCACCACTAAACCCTCTCCCCAGGGCAGAAACAGAGCCCAGGGTGCTCAGGGTATTTTGTTTTTACCTTTCCTGCTATCAGCTTTGATGATGTGGCAGGCAGCTCCCAGCTCTGGGCTGGGCCAGGGGTTCAAGAGGCTGCATGCCCAGCCCCTGGCACACTGTGGCACAGCCCCTGCCTCAGCTGTTGCCTGTGAAAGCATCCTGGCTAAACTCCATGGCTCTCATTCACTCAGGTGAAAATTCCACTGTGTTCAGCCAGACTTGGGCTTGACAGTGAAATTCAGGAGACTCAGTCAAGCTGAGGGATTCATAAAACAGTCCTGGCCTCAGTCTCAGGTAGGAAAACACTCCCATGGTCACTGACCATCCTGCAGAGTCCCTTCCACAGTGTAAATGGCAACATGGGAAACCAAAACCCAGCCAGGCTGGGTTTTACTTCAACCCAAAGGCACTGTATATATTTTCAGGATTACAGCAGTGCATTCTCAACACCTCTCAGTATCTGTCTGCACCTGAAGTTGTACTGCTCTGGGTACACTAACCCCAGCCTGCCTAAGGACTATCTTTTCCTTCATCTGTCAACAAGGAAGAGGAATGAGCTGAGTCACAGCACAAACTTGTTGACAGAGCCTGAGCCCAGCCCCCCCCACCCACAGCACCGACCTGGAGTGCCCCACCTTTGTGTCCCAACCCTCGAGCCAAGCCTGGAGCACTCCCTGGGCAGTGCTGGGAGGGCTCCTGCTGCTGGGCATTCTCCTATCACACAGCTCATCCCACAGTGCCTCTCAGGAAGGAGTAGTGCAGAATTTCCTTGATGATACATGTTGTAATGAAGTCTTACATCAACTCTGACTTCTTTGACAGAACAACAGAGGAGCAATGAAACCTTCTCCCTGTTTCCTGGAGATGAAGTCACAACCACGCTCTACAGGTTAGTCAGCTGGGCTTTTTTAAACACAGACCACTCCATCCTTAAACCCTGCCTCCAGCTCAGGTAAGCTTTATTCAGAGGGAGCACTAAAAGTTCAGTTTTGTTGTTTGAACAGGTATCAAGCCCACAGCCATAACGAGTGAACAAACTTCCCTGTAAGACCGAGGCAAACTGGAGAGTGTTTGCAATTCCCACAGGGACAAACGGCAGCCCTGTCAGTGCCTCAGAGGTAACAGGAATGCACACACACGTTTCTGTGTTCCAGGAAATACAGAACAAAGTGGTTCATGTTCATACACTTAGAAAGACACTTTAGAACAGGGCCCTTTTCTACATGGGCTCTGTGAGCTGGCACAGTGCAGCACAAATCAAGGCTTCAAAGGACCACGCTGGTCAGCAGTCACACCAACAGCTACGCAGCAAATTGGATTTTATTTTTTTAAAACCCTACTCCAGATATAGAAGTCATGAGGTGCTTGATCATTAACCTTTGCTTAACAACTTAATGAGTTCAATGCAGAAGCAGACCGGTGCAGAATAATCCAGTCTCTTCCTAGAACAGGTGCACCAGAGCCCACTGCAAGCTCTGATCACACTCCCCACCCGCAGCACCGACTCCAGGGACTCCAGGGAGAGCACTCGAAAGCACAGAGGGCAGTGCCTCCACCTTCAGTCCTACAGCATTCCTTGCTGAGCATTTGGCACAAGCCAGTTAGAGCCAGTTACAAGTGCTAGGCTTAATTCAAGGCAGAAAAACCCCACATTCCTGAAGTCACTGACTTGGACAGAAAGGTAAAGCATGCAAACAAGTGTTTCTGTGTGCAAACCAACACACCCGATGGGGCTGCGAAGCAGAGCCAGCACAGCACCGCTGTCACCTTCATCACCTCAGCCATACAGGTTTCTAGTCACATTTTACAGAAAATGTGCTGTTTTAGCAGACTGGCCCTAGGATTTGGACAGTTTCTGTTCACAGCTCTGCCTCTCTGCGTTACCTTTAACCAAATGGTAATTAAAAAAATAATAATCTCACTGCAAGTATACTCCTTAACCTGCAGTTAGCATGCTTTTTGGAGCTACGTGTAGCTCTCTATATAGAACAATCATGTTAATCATACAAAAGACGAGCTAGTTTTAGGTCAATGAATCATGCTGTTAAGATAAACATTGCTGTAAGAGGTCATGCAGACATTCCATCATGAAACACTTAACATAAAGCCCAATGTTTATAAACATTTATTGTGAATAGGTCAAAATCAAAGGCCAAGTTTTAAACAGAAAGAATCAGACATACGAGCCCAACTTTGTTTCCAGTTGGCTACTTAGAAACTCTGCAGGTTCTGATTCCCAGCTTTTCAGTTCAGTTTTTCACTATCAACAAGGTTTTTTTATTCAGATTAAGTTGACTGAACTATAGTCACGTTTGAATGTTCACAGTATCATCAAGACATGTGGTCAGTACCACCTGGTCAAAAGTCTTTCGGGAAGAGAAGAAAAATCAAAACGCTAACCAAGCTTCCAAACTGAGGTAGACAAGTCATGGTGACTTGAGTGCTGAAGGTTGGGTTCTCTTTAAGTTGTTCATCTAAAGAAATGCATAAGGCAACAACTGAGATTATTGTTAGTATTTCTGATAGTGAGAAACTTAGTTTTGAAAAAGTACACAATTTTTGTAAATAGAAATATCCCTCTTCTTCTACCAAAATAATCAGAAACATCATAGAAAACTATGTATCTTTCCTCTGATAATTTAAGCCTGTTAGATAACAAGCCCTGTTTAAGTAGCCAGCTACCAGCTTGCTGTTCACAGTGTAAAATACACAATCCTTCACCTTTCTTCTGCTCTCCATCCGAGGAACACACATCAAGATGGCTGTACCTCAAGCATTTTCACCTGTCTACACACACAGAGGCCGTTTTAGTTTTTCAAGCATCAAGTATAAAGTCTGTGGTCTCCACCGGTGCATCCGCACGATGGTTCAGACAGCATGTACAGCACTCCCTGGCAGCTCCCTTCCCACAGGCACCTGGAGCTGGGTTTCCATCCTGTGAACTTTGGATCCAGACCGGATCGACGATTTAGTCAAACATCCGAAATGACAGACACGGAGAGAAGAAATCCAAACTGCTTCTGCGAGAGAAACTGAGACACCAGCCACGTTACTCAACAATTTTGATCACAGTAAGGCAGAGGCTAGTGGCCAAAGAACAGCTCAGAAACGGGTCTGCGTTTCATGACGACCTCTTCCTCCTCCTCCATCACCTCGGAGAGGGAGGAATATGAAGGGAAGCCCCCTCTGGTCTTTGGCTTCCTCCTCGGGCCCGTAGTGGCAGCCAGAAGCTTGTTTAAAGTCGAGGGCTTCCTTAAACCCTTGGTGAGATCGTAGAAAGCCATGTCATCGGATATGACCCCCAGGAAGGTGCTAGTGGAGCTCAAGATTGAAGCCGCAAGCTTTGTGGACTTCTTGATGGGCACGGAGTGCTCCATGTTTTGGGAAAGGCTGGGGTCCCCCAGCAGGCGCCTGATCGTGAGGGAGGTCCCTTCCTTCAAGTACTGGTGTGCCTTCTTCCCGCTGTAGTCCCTCAGCTCGGTGTTGGCGTGGTAGCTGTAGACCAGCATGGTGATGATCTTGTCCTGGCCGTGGATGGCGGCGAGGTGCAGGGCCGTGTACCCGCCGTGCGACCGGGCATCCACGTTGACGCGGGCCCCCCCCTTCTCTGCCGCCCGGATGATGTTGGTCACCATGTCGCAGTTGCCGCTCTTGGCGGCCCAGTGCAGGGCGGTGAAGCCGGACACGAAGTCCCTGCGAGCCGCCAGGCTGGCATCGCCCAGCAGGAGCCCGTGGAGCTGCTGCGTCCACTGCCCGCCGGCCGCCAGCACCAGCCACTGGTGCTCCGCCTGCTCCAGCGGCACCACGGTCTCCTCGCTGCCCCGGTGGGCCTTGGAGCCCCGCCGCAGCCCCGGGGAGCGGGACCCGGCGTCGTCCTCCAGGGACGGCGGGGACAGCGCTGCGGGCGGCTCGGCCCGCGCTGCCGGCGGCTCCGCGGGCGCGGTGGGGACGGGCACGCAGCGCACGGGCAGCATGCAGGGCTTGGGGGGCGGCTCCCGCCGGGCCCCCCCCGCGCCGCCGGGCAGGGGCACCCCGCCGCCGCCGCCCTGGAACAGGCCCCGCAGCTCGGACACCGCCCGCGGCCCCGGCGGCTCCTCGGGGGGCGTCCCGGCGGGGCCGGGGACCGGGCCGGGGCCAGGGACCGGCACCGGGAGCGCACCGGCATCGCCCCCCGGCGCCATCGCGCCCCCGCAGGCGGGGCTGAGCGCAGCTCCCGCCGCAGCACCACGAACTTGGTGCCGTCGATGTCCTTCACCGTGGCCACGGCGTTCACCGCCGCCTTGAACCGCTCCCGCCGCTCCGCCCGCCCCGCCGCCTCCCCGGCCCCGGCCCCGGCCCCGGCCCCGGCGGGCTCCAGCAGCGGCCGGAAGGCGCTCACCAGCTCGGCGTTGCGCACCCGCCCGCCGCGCTCCCGCAGGAAGCCCAGCACCGCCTCCGCGCTCAGCGCCAGCTCCGCCATCCCGTCGCCACAGGTGGGGGTGCCGCACGGGCCCGCCGGGGCTCTCGGGCAGCGGCACCGGCGACGGCACCTGCGGCGGTGGGCGCGGAGGTGCTCGGTCTGCCCCGCCCCGACACCGCCCCGACACCGCCCGCACGGGCAAAGGAGCGGCCCCGGCGCCGGCACCGCCCGCGGGGCGGCACTGCGGGGGCGGCACCGACCGAGCACCGCGCCGAGCACCGCGCCGAGCACCGCGCCGAGCACCGGCACCGACCGAGCCCCGGCTCCGCGGAGCGGCCGGACCGCACGGGCGGGGGCGGCGGGAGCGCACACAGAGCCGAGCCCTGGGTGAGGACACGGGGGTATCAGTTCTCCGGAGACTCCTCGGGCAGGAGTGGACGCTTCATCGATTTACTCGTCTTCATGCTTCCTAGAACGAGTGGGGTTTTGTTTGATTGTTTCAGTAGCAGATAAGTGGAAGCAGCTTTAGGTAGAAATCACTCTGCAAAGTTCGGTCTCCATTCTCCGAGAAGCCTCTGGTGTCCTGCGAGAGCCTCGATCTGATGCCTCAAAATGAGTCAGAAGATTGGTGGATGGGTCAGTCTTTGGAGATACCCTCACCCCTATGTGATGTTATATATATTATCGTATATCTATTATCATATCCCCCACCCAGTGCATCTCTCTCCTCCCTTGCTTATGCTGACCTCCCTTCTGCTTCTTCACACCTTTTACTGAGTCTGGAAGATCCTCTTGCCACAGATCGCTCAGTCTTCCTTTGGCAATCTTTCCCCTTCTTTCTCCATCTTTGTGCAAATGTCTGAAAAACTATTTCATCTCTTGCTAATGAGCTGGTGCCAAAGCAGTTCCTTAAAATCATTTTGCTGCTCTAATGCTCTTTCACATAACGATGTGTAATCTTCTTGTAGTAGCTCCCTGTTTCCATGTGAATCCACCTCATTGCTGCCTGTTCACGTGGCACACACAGCAGCCTCGGCCTCGCTGAGCAGCCCCTCTGCTGTGTGAGCACTGCTCTGCAGCTCATGGCATCGCCACAGCCTGCCAGCCTACGTAGAGACCTAATAATGAGCCTGCATCCAAATATCAATTGTTGTGCCTTGCTTCCACTGTTCACATCCTTACAGGAATCCATTGCAGGCATAAGAAAATCTCAGCAGTCTGTGATTTTTGCATTGCAAACTTTCAGCTCTACCCGAGGATTACAGTTTGTATCTGCAAATGCCTGAGAGGAGTGAAAATGGTTCAGAAGAATAGGCTCTTCTGGAAAGCATTTTCTTATGTTACAAATGTTAAGGGAGAAGTTGCTCCTGTTGCTTGATTTGGTTCAGGTGTGGTGGGGTATGGCCTTGGGCTCCCTGCACCCCATCCCTGCCTGCACAGGCATCACACCCCTGTATCCTTAAGACCATGAGGGTGCACATGAGCTGTCACATCCCACTTATTTTATCCCCAGCCAGGCACCATTCCTGCAGAGGGATTTCCATGTACCAGGCTCCCAGGACCTCCCTGCTCAGCAGCCAAGCCTTCGATCTGAGGTCCCATCTGAGGGTAGCATTTCTGTAGACATGCCTTATGAGCTCCATATATTGTCAGTATAACCAGTGGAAGTTTAATAAAGTGCTTGGTGGTGCTGCTGCTAAAAGTGTAGCTATAAACCATTTGGTTTCTAGTAATCCCCAGCTACTTCCTCTTCAGGTTGAAAACCCTGAAGGAGTTCTGTTTATCTGCACCACCTGGATTTGAAGATCAAGTTTTTTACTCAGCCCTGAAAGACGCAGCCATCTTCAAAAGGCCTTGATCTTGCTGCTGCACTCCTGTGGCAGGTGGGATGAGCTCTTGCTCTCTGTGGCTGCCTGTGAAGTCAAAGGGGCTGTTTTAGCATTTACTTCTCTCCACTTCCATTTCCCGTTCCTGGGGTCAGAACATGAAGAGGTAAAGCAACTCCTGCTGGTCTCCCCACCATCAGAACTGGGCTGCTGCAGTGCCATGCAGAGAGGGGCATTTTCTCTCCTCTCCCCAGGACAAAGAGGTTCCAGGGACACATTTGTACCTCTCCAGTCCTTTATGCTCTGCACCAGCTCTTCACCAGTAGGGAATTCATAGCTCACCCTAAATTCACTGTGGATTTAGCAGGTACAAATATTCCACAGAGTTTAAAAGCCTTGCAAGAGCATCCAGCACTGTAATATACTATTAATTAAGGCGCTATTAGGAATAATTTGCTGAACAATTCGTGCCTTAGCAATTAAAGGAGCCACCAAATCCAATTCACTTCTCTTGAAACAGTTTTTATGCAACTGAACCTTTTGAAATTAGCAGGGCTTCTCTTGAACTGGCATTAGATACAGTGTGCTTTTTGAAATAACAAGGTATTTAAAAATAATTGTGCCCTTTTACACCTGCTCTGCTGTTCCAGAGCTCTGCCCCACGCTGGTGGCAGCGCTGCTGGACAAAGGGACAGAGGATTCCAGCTGCAGGAGGGCTGAGCAGCGCAGCTCAGAGCCAGCACACAGCAGTGGTGGCTCTTGATCTGTTGAAATGTCTCACTATTTCCTTTATGCCCTGAATCTTTGCATCTGACCTGCAGCTCACAGAAACCAGCAGCTGTTTGGGAATCAGCTTTTGTGAGCCTCCTCTTGTTACATTGTGCATTTTATTGTCAGGGAAAATTACCAACTCTGCTTCTATATAAACTGTTCTACTTGCATCTGTACACCAGAAATACCAGATTTAGCTTCCCCATTTTTGCTGAAGGAGCCAGGGAGAACTGGAGGACCTTTGGGAATGGGCCAAAGAAACAAGATGGCAAAGTGAATGTCTGCAGGAACATCTCACTCGTGAGAGATAAATGAATAAAAGGTTCAGCAAGCTTATACACTGCTGAGGGTGGAGAGAGTCAGCTCCAGGTGCCAGGGACCAGCAGGACAGCTTTGCTGTCCCTGGCAGCATTAACACAGGGCTGCGGCTGTGACAGGAGTGGTTTTGGTCATTTTGGTGAAAAAAATTAGCAGATGGTGTTCAGCAATGACCTTTTCAGAGAAGTACAATATTTTTTAAAACCTGTCTTTATTCAGAACTAAAACATGGATTAGCAGAATGAATTTGGTTGTAGGTAGTCTCCTCAGGAAGGACAGGAAACCAGCTTCTCTGACCTGCACTAGATCTATCATATTTCAAAAAGCAGATCACTTGAATAACACCCTCTCAACTTCTCTAATATTGGGATTAAAACTTCCACTAGACCAGATTGCTGCAAGCCACATCCAGACTGGTCTTGAGCACTGCCAGGTCTGGGGAGCCAGCGGCACAGGTGGCTCTGTGGAGCTGTGCCGGGCTGCACTGCAGCAGAGGGCACCAGCACGCAACAGAAACTGCTCTGTGCTCCCAGCTCACGAAACACCAGTGTCTGTGCAGTCACAGAGACCGACGGGCTTGGCTTTGTGCTTTCTGTGGGAAGGAATGATGAAGAAAGGCTCCCAGTCCTCTGCTGCACACTTTAACTCACATAAGCACAGGCAGCGTGAGGGCCGCGAGCTCTCGTCCCGGTGGAACCCACGCTGTGCCCGCAGCGCCGGCGGGGCCCCCGCGTGTGACAGCGGCACCGCGGCGTGGGGTGCCCTTCCAGCCTGCTGGGCGTTGGGGGCTTCCCGCGATGGGGAAACCACAGAACCAGCAAGGCTGGAAACACCTCTGAGGCCATCGAGTCCGACCTTTAAATGGGGCTGTGTGAACCCTGCCGGGGTGCTGGGGCCGTCCCGCGGCCGCAGCCGGGCACGGTTTGTGCCCGCCTTGCGGTGCTGGGCGCTCCCAGCGCTCTGCCGCTGCCGGGCCGCCGGTGCTCCGTGCTCGGTGCTCCGTGCTCGGTGCTCGGTACTCCGTGATCGGTGCTCTGCGCTCGCCGCCGGCCCCGCTGGGGGAGGGCCCCGCTCCCCTCCGGTGCCGCCCTGCGCGGCCGGGCCCCGGTTCCTCCCCTAGGGCGGGCCCGTCCCGCCCCGGCCGTGCCGCCCGGCCCCGGTGCCCGCGGTCGGGCGGGCGGGCGGTGCCTGCGGCGGGCGGGGGGAGTTCCAGGAAGTGGCCATATTGGATCCATTCCCCGCATCCTCCCGCGCGGGCAGCACCGCCGCTCCCGGCCATGGCCGCCACCGACCTGGAGCGCTTCTCGGTGAGCAGGGCCGCGCTCTGCCGGGCACACGGCCCGGCTCTGCCTCGCTCGGAGCGGGGATGGCCCCGCGGCTGGCGGGGCCGGGGGGATGCGCGCCGGGGGCTCTGCGGAGGGAGCGGGCGGGGCCGGGGGTGCGGGGACAGTCCCTGCGGGAAGGTCCCGCAGCGCCGGGGGCGGGAGGGAAGGGAAGAGCGGGCGGAGGGGCCGTGGCTGGAGCTGGAGCTGGAGCTGGAGCTGGAGCTGGAGCTGGAGCGGTACCGCCACGCTCGGAGGCTCCTGCCGGGATGTCCGGGATGCTCCCACAGCGTGTCCGGTCCGTGTGCCTGCGGGAGGGCAGCGCCCGCGCCGGGGGGAGGAAAGGAACCGGCTCAGACCTTCCGAAACACGAGCTGTGTACACAGCGCCGGTATCCAAACACTCCGCGACAGTAACTTAGCGGTGTATGTAGAGCTGCGAGAGACACACGGTTCAGACGCGGGCAGAGCAGACCCTGCCGGGGTAAGGAATGCTGTACAGCAAATATGGAGCGTGACCCGCGCTCCGCCGCCTCTCTGCAGCTCACATGTTGTATAACTGCTATCGGAAGTCAATCTGGCTAAAATCTGTGTCGGCTCTAAACTATTCTTTGTCTACCGCTTGAATTTTCTGTTGTTGTTGGAAGACTGCTCTCGTGAAATAGCTCGGTGATGCGTCTCGTAGCCTTGCAGAGCTAAAAACATTTTTACCGCATTAAGTAGCATAGTTCTCCAAAGTCAGAAAAGTCTGGTGTGCTATTACTAAATAAATGGGAACAGCAGTGGTGGCTGTCTGAATTACTGGGATGCCGTTTGAGCACAAACAAGTCCCTGCTACTGTTTTCTTTGAAAGCTA